TAGTCATGGCAAAAGGGTTGCCCTCGCATTGCCGAAAAGGTCCGCACGCTTAAGCCGTAGATTTACATACAAATCCATCAAGGTGTTGTGCACTATGCACGATTTCCATCAATGTGTCCATTCCTTTCCACTCATGTTTATGCGTCGCGTGCTTAGCTCGTATTCTGGTCTATAGTGCAATGCCGTTTGCTGGCATGGAAAGTGAGTACATAGTGCATGGAGCGTTTCCGCGGGCGAGCAAGTCAAGTCAAGCGAGCGACTAAAACCGTCTACGATGAATGGAAGTTAAATCTACGTGCAGCACCACACCAGCAACACCAAAATTTTCGCAGGGCGCCCGCTGTCGCCCTGCATAGCTTCATTAGTAGTGGCGATAGCTATATTGATATGGACAGCCCGAGTTGTGAATAGTCGAATTGAGAGCCTATCACGCCCAAAAACCGCTGCGACACGAGGATTCCGCGACAACAATTATGTGTCCACCATGGCGACAGTTCAATCTTCATCGTGTATAGCTCTAGTCGCAATGCAGCAGTCGTAGCGGGGGCTCGTTGCGTCTAAGCCCGCTGTGGCACAAAGATCCGCGACAGTCCTCACAGGAGCATTGATGCGTCGCTCGATTCGAAATGGTTCGCTTCCCGTTGTGGTTCGCTTCCCGTTGTGGTTCGCTTCCCGTTGTGGTTCGCTTCCCGTTACACTACGTTATATTGGGCTAATTTACGTTATGAATTACTATCTGGATCTGCGGACAGGTAGACATACGACTGCTGCTATTGTCACGACTGGTGTGCCGATCTGAAGCGGTTCCCAGCATAAATGTGCACTGTATCGTTCTCTTCCAACTCATCCTCAATGTCCATCAGCCGGTTGTATTTCGCAACGCGCTCTCCACGGCAGGGGGCACCGGACTTCAAATGGCCAGTCTGTAGACCGACCGTGAGATCCGCGATGAAATCGTCCGTGGTCTCACCGGATCTGTGAGAAACGAAGACCGACCAACCAGCCCTGTAAGCTTCGTTCGCACTGAGATGGAACGTATTAGTTCAAGATTGTGGAGTGGGAAGACAAATCTCGGGTCAAACTTACGCTTCAATGGCTTCGGTAATACTGCCGATTTGGTTGATCTTGAGCAGCAAGCTGTTGCATGCATTCTTCTCTTCCCCCATACGGATACGCTTGATGTTCGTTGCAAGCAGATCATCACCCACGAGCTCCGCTGGGCAGTCTTTCATGAAATTGGTCCAGGCCGGCCAGTCATCCTGCCCGAATGGATCCTCGAGCAGAACGATGGGATACGTTGCCAAAAGACTGTGATACAAGTCCGCAAGCTGTGTGCCACTCATAACCTCACTCCCGCCTGTTTTGTAGCCAATGTTGTACGAACCGTCCTTCTCAAACGACTGAGAGGCTGGGTCGATGCCTATTTTGATCTTGCCTTCGTGGCCAGCGTCCGCAATTGCTTGTACCAGAAGGTCAAGGGCCTCGGTCGGGTGATAGATGGGTGGTGCAAAGCCGCCCTCGTCGCCGAGTCCGATAGCCGATTTGCCATGCTTGCTGACGATGAGTGTTTTGAGGCAAGCATACGTCTCACTGCCGAATCTTATAGCTTCTCTGATAGATTGCGCACCGACTGGAGCGATCATGAACTCTTGGAAAGCCATGGTGTTGCCAGAATGGTCGCCTCCGTTGAGCACGTTCATGAACGGGACAGGCAGGACAAGTTTCTCCTGTTCAATGCCAGCTTCGCGAGCGAGGAAGCGATAGAGCGGCATCCCAGACTCTGCTGCTCCCGCACGGGCAGCTGCCATGCTGATACCAAGGATGGCGTTCGCTCCCATCTTACTCTTGTCTTCAGTCCCATCAATCTTTACCATGAGGCGATCAATTTCCTTGAGCTGTTTTCCAGGACTCAATCCAGCCTCTATGATTGATGGCCCGAGGACGGATTCGACATTGTGCACGGCTTTCAAAACGCTGTCGCCATGATAGATCGACTTGTCGCCGTCGCGAAGTTCGACTGCTTCGTAGTCGCCTTTGGATGCACCCGAGGGAACAATAGAGCTGAACGTGCCATGGTTTGTTGTGATGCGCACTTGGACTGTCGGTTTCCCTCGTGAGTCTAGCCGCTGTGAAGCCTTTATCGACGATATCGTTGAGACCATTGTTGAATCGTAGCTGGGGGCGGATTGATTCAAAGGTCCACCAGAAAAGAGCTCAGAGACTTGTATCTACTTAGTTACCTGTGAGCAATTTTGAGCTCTTACAAGCTGTCCAAATGAACTATTATGGACTGACAAGAAAAGTTACATCATAACGCGCGAGATGTTTGGTGCACCATTCGGGGCGGCGGCAACACGGGTGAGCGAGTCCGAAGGAACGGTTAACGCGGAAGCGGCGTCTGATTAGCGCTTCCGCATATGCCGCAGGCTGCGTCAGCGTCGGCGGATCCTCCGGCACTGCTCTGACATGCCAGAGGCAACAGTGGGTACAAACTGCATTGTCGCTTACTATTGAAGCGGTGATGGCGGCGCGAGCCCCATCCATGGCTGCGGCCCGCACAACGTTGTCGGTGACCTTCCTGAGACATGTGATGTTGTTGCAGATGACCTCTGCAAGCGGTCGGGGACGGAATATATTACAACGCCATGTCATACGCACTTACGCCTTGGCCGGTGGCCCAATGCATACCAAGATCCAGGCCCGTTCATCTTCATTGATCTAGTCACGAATGGCATCGTTTGACCTCCCGGCATATACCGACACAAAGAGCCCTCCATGCTACACTAATCCGTTCGACGACGCTGCCCACGTTCTGCTGAAACCCGAGCTTGCCGACCCGACGACGCAATGGCCGAATCGACAATGGTTCAGAGCCGTCCTGCAGCTCCAGGGTACCCAAATTCTTCTCCAGCGAAACACTGGTCTGCTTCTATGCGGACGCCCATTAAGCCTTCAGGGAGCCCAAGCAGGCTTGGCCACAGATTACCACAAGAAAAGCTTTGTGTTCAGGTTGCGAGTGGAAGGCTACCAATTCTTGTGCGCGACAGGCAATTTTGCTGCAGCCATCAGTTGGGTGGATGCTTTAAACGCTGCGATCGCGGTGAGTGTGGACTTGGACGAGCGCAAGGAGCCGGCCTATCAGACCATGGCGTCTAGTCGAATACCAATGACAGGAAACCTGGCAATCAATATGACCAGTACCTCGAGATTTCGACAAATGTGGAGCCAGAGAAAGTCTAGCTTGAACGGCGCGTGGCTAAGAGATCGACTCAGCGAACGAAGCGGGATGGGGCTGCAGCGGTATCTCGAAGATGAAGAACGAATACTTGGCAGCAGTTTGGTGGCTGTGCAGCAAAGATTTATAGCTCACTGTCTCTGCTCGGTGTGTTTTGGCGCTGCTCAGACAAGAGGCTCACTCGACTCGAGAAATTCCACGTCGACAGAGATGGAATGTGGATTGGAAAAGGCAGTTGCATTCGGTACAAAGGAACCGCTAAAGTGTATGGACTGGCGAATCGACCGTGTTAGCCTTGCTCGGAAGAGGCTGGAATATGCACGCCGCTGTGCAAAGACCTTGACCTACCGAGCTTCTTGGGCAAGCAATCGGTACTTGTGTGGCCAGACCTGGATTCACAAGGAAGTCAAGAGATCGAACCCGGCTACAGTATTACCTGGGTAGCGAGGCCCTTGCGTGACACGAGATTGAGGTGGCACGTCTAAAGTGTATGAGCTGGTGAAGCATCGTAGGTGGAAGTGCGGATTACTTTGGCTATTGCGTATACGCTTGCACATGATATAACGAATAATAAGGATTCAGCGTCGTCGCGAAGAGTGGGTCTCACTGCCCATTTTGGGTCCAATCCCAAGTAATGGGATCGCAACTTTCTAGACTCATATCCCAGTCGACCAAGTCCAACAGAGTGTCTGAGAAGTCCCCGTTCAGAGCTGTGGACCCATTTCTCGAGGGACCTGGGGGCAGATGCAGCGATTCACCTTGTCCATTGAATCCCAATGAGGCCGGCACAGCACCATAGGTATTGGCGACGTCGGGAAACCCGGGAGCCATGCCTCCTTGGTCTCTGAGGTGCGTTGCTCGCGTTTTGTGTGCTTGCGACATCTGTAATAGCGTCTGATAGGCTTGCAGATGGGGATCAAGCGTAGCTGGGTTTGCGGTTGTAGCGGCTGCCATGTGATCCGTGGCAAGTAGTCCTGGTGTAGGCTGCATGTTGCTAGTTGGAAGCTCGGCGTCGATCATTTGCTGGGTTTGTACGTGTGAAATAGGCACGATCATATGAGACGGGCTGTCTTGTTCGCTGCTACCATCGCCACCATCATCATCGACGCGCCGCTTTTTCGACTGGTATGTTACAGATTTGCTGGCGCTGGGGTGACTGCTCTCGGGGGACTCCTGCATCGCGCCGAGGTCCGCAGACTCGGGAGCATAGCGGTCAAGTATCCCGGTGATATCGGCATGTTGAGCGTTATCTGAGGACTCGCCCAGACCATCGGTGCTCTGGCCGTTCACGCCGCTGAGATAGCCGTGCCGGGACTCAAGCACATCGAGACGTGTAGCCATTCGGCGCAGCGCGCGCGCGAGGCGGTCGTTCTGTTCTTGTAGCATCATGCCCCGCTCTGGGGTCATGGATAGCGCCAGTTTGGCTGCGTCCATCTTGTCGTAGAGGCAGAGGATGTTGCGTGCGCGACAGCGCGAACACGGCTTTGCGCCATCGCACTGGATGGTCGGAGATTCAGTGGCATGGCGGAAATGGTGATGCGACTCCTCGACTGACCTTGGCCTTGCGCACTTTGCAGCCTTGACACGCGTTCGGCGTGCGTGTCAGCCCACGAGCGCTCTCGCCTGGCTCGAGGTGAGCGACGGGACCACTGTGCTTGGGCACAATCACAAACATGTTAGTACTGTCGTGCGTGTCTTCCACGAGCACAGGCGTGGCCAGTGGCCAGTGGTGGGAACACAGAGCGTGTCTTGCACGAGCGCCCACTACCTGAATGCTGTGCGCGCGCGCTTACGTCAGCCGTGCCAGAGGCTTCCGAATCAGGCAAGGCTCCCGCTCTCAGAAAGCGTTGAGATCTGCGACGCAGTGCAGATGTAGCCTATGCAAGTCACATACTATGTAAGCCACATGTATGCTACCAATGATTGTCCCAGAACTTGACCTCGACCACAGGAACCTTGAACGAAAAGCTGGACGACGACGAATACGACAAATCAGAGATAATTTGGACATACTAACTGGTATCCTCCGGCACGACCGAAGATGGCGGACGTTGCCCGCGCGACGCCGCAGCCTCCGCCGCCTCTGGACGACGACACGTCCATCGCCGTGGCCCAACCGACTCGAATGCGCGCGCGGACGGCGCTCGATTATCGTGGTATGCATCGCGGCACCTTTTCATCCCAGGCAAGAGCCGTTCGAGGCCCCACCGAAAATGTTAAAAAGGCTCCGGCGTCGCAGCTGGACTTGATCCTGCAAGCCATTTCGCAGATGCCGACCACCGGTCAGATCACCACCATCGGGGAGGAAGTGAAGAATGTCGTGCGCGAAGAGGTGAAAAATGTCGTGCGTGAAGAGGTGAGAAGCATCGTCCAGGAAGAGGTACAGACTATCGTTCAGGAACAGGTGAGCGTAATTGTGCAAGAGCAGGTAAGCGTGATTGTTCAAGAACAGGTGAGAGGAATCCTCCAAGAACAGGTGAGCGCAATCGTACAGCAAGAGTTGGCCAGCTTGCAACTCTCCAGCCCGAGCCCATCGTACGCGGATGTCGCGCGGACACCGCCAGGAAGCCTCCCGAGCAACATTCGAACCGTGTCGATGAACACGACGCCATCGACCATGACTGACACTCTCTACTGCACCGTGGACATGACGGATGTGGAGAGCGTGGACAAGGACAAAGCCAACCCTGGCACAGTTCGACAGGAGATTGAGAAAAAGATGCGTGTAGTGGAAGGAGCCGACAGCTGGCGATGCATTGCTGTCACGAGAGACCCGCGGCACACTGTACGAGTGCGCATCACCTGTCGTGACGAGAGCGAGCTTGCACGTGTGAAGGAGGCTGCAGAGAAGACCAAGGCCGCTGGAGCACGGATCCTGCGTGACCAGCTTTACCTAGTAAAGGTGGACAATGCGAACCGGACGGCGATGTTGGAGGAGAACGGTCAACTTCGAGCAGGAGTGGTAGAGATGTTGGAGAAGGAGAACGAAGTGAAGATTGCCAAGGTGTCGTAGCTTAGCCGGAAGGATTCCGACAAGGCGTACGGGTCGATGGCGGTGTATGTGACGAAGGGAAGTGATGCGGTGCGTCTTTTGCAAGGCCAGTACTTCCATGTAGCGGACAAGTCGGCGTACACGCGAGTGTTTGAGCCTCGTCGCGGTCCCATTCAGTGCTACAACTGCTAGGAGATCTGCCACAAGGCATACTCGTGCTCCAAAACGCGGATGTGCGGCCGATGCGCGCAGCCCGCACACCGTCATAGCGAATGCCAAGCCGAGGTACCCAAGTGTGTTCCGTGTGGCGGACCGCACGAGTCGTGGAGTCGTCACTGTCGGGTAATGTACCCTCGACATGCATAGAACGATGAAGATCTACCAACTGAATGTGCAAAAACAGCGTGCAGTGCAGCACAGCGTGATGAACGACAGCGATCTAGCGGAATGTACGGCCCTGGCACTGTCTGAACCATACTGCTTCCGGAAGGACGAGGAGGTGATGACGGTACCACTAGGCCATGCGAATTGGACGAAGACGATACTAACGAATCGACACGAGGGGAGATGGGCGATCCGCAACATGTTGTGGATCTGGAAGGACGTTGAATGCGAGCAAGTGGCAGTGCCGTCGGCCGACATGACTGCGGCCTTGTTGCGACTGCCGGACCGCTCAGTGCTCTTAGTGTCGGTTTATGTGGAGGGAGTGAATGCGGGTGCTTTGTTAGAAGCCATCGCCTTGCTTCAAAGGGTCATGCGAGAAACCCGCGATCGTGTTGGCACTCGAGTGAACATCGTGCTTGCGGGAGACTTCAACCGCCACGATCAGCTCTGGGGCGGAGATAACATCTCACTGCAACGACAAGGGGAGGCAGATCCAATCATCGATCTGATGAATGATTAGTCACTCCATAGTCTGCTTCCACGAGGCACCAAGACGTGGCACAACGCGTGCCATGCATCAACCATCGACTTGATGTTGGCCCCCAACGACTTAGCCTCGACTGTGGTCCGATGCGACGTCCATGCCGCCGAGCATGGATCTGACCACCGAGGTATTGACAGCGTATTCGACGTGGCCGACCCAGAGTATGTAGTTGAACCCCGACTGCTGTTCAAGAATGCCCCCTGGAAGACCATCCGAGAGCGAATCGAGACCATTTAGCAGCGACAGTTGCTAGATGGCAGTGTGCAGGAGCAGACGGACCGACTGATGGGGACAGTGCTCGAAGCGATTCATGCACTGACTCCAAAGGCTCGGCCGAGTCCATATGCAAAGCGGTGGTGGACACGTAATCTCACACAGCTCCGACGAGTGTATACTTATCACCGGAATCAGGCATGCAGTCAGAGACGAGCAGGAATGACCCGGCCCGACCTCGAGGACCAAGCTCGATGTGCGGCGAAGGACTATCACGATGCTATCCATCGGCAACAGCGAGCCCACTGGGATGACTTTCTCGCCGATGATGCGAACATCTAGCAGGCGGCCAAGTATCTCCAGCCCAGCGGCGGCGTAGGACAAGACAAGATTCCGCCTCTCGTCCGTGCTGATGGGTCGCAGACGAGCGACAAAACGGAACAAGCGAGCGAACTATTAAGCACCTTCTTCCTATCACTCCCTAAAGTTCTTGAAGAGGAGGGCGAACGATCCCAGCATGGCGCGATTGCTATGCCGGACCTAACGATGCAGGAGGTAGAGCGAAACGTGTTTGCAGCCAAACCGTGGAAAGCGGCGGGAGACGATGGACTCCCAGCCGCAGTGTGGAAGGAGATCTGGCCGGTGGTGAAAGAGCGGGTTTTGCTACTCTTTTAGGCATCGCTGGCCACCGGACACTTGCCTACGCAGTGGAGAAACGCCAAGATCATCCCGCTCAAGAAGCCTAACAAAGCTAACTATCGCGTAGCCAAAGCCTAGAGACCCATCTCATTGTTGTCCACGCTCGGCAAGGCGCTCGAGGCCGTGGTGGCGGAGAGGATGTCGTATGCGGTCGAACAACGCGGCCTACTTCCTACGAATCACTTTGGAGCGAGGAAGGAACGATCTGCGGAGCAGGCGTTGCTGCTGCTACAAGAGCGCATTTATGATGCCTGGCGGAAGCGCAGGGTACTCAGCCTCGTAAGCTTTAATGTCAAAGGTGCATACAACGGAGTGTGCAAGGAGCGCCTGCTGCAACGATTGGCTGCCCGTGGCATTCTAGCGGGTCTCGTGCGGTGGATTAATACGTTCTGTTCTCACCGCACGGCCACGATCCTCGTGAATTGGCATTGCTCAGAGCGGCAAGAGTTAGAGCAGGCAGGTCTGCCGCAAGGGTCACCGCTATCGCCCATTCTGTTCCTCTTCTTCAATGCTGACCTCGTGCAGCGGAAACTGGATCAGAATGGCGGCAGCTTCGCGTTCGTGGACGACTACACAGCGTGGGTGACTAGACATTCCGCCGAGACCTACCACGAAGGAATCCAAGGGATGGTTAATCAGGCCACAGCGTGGGAAAGGCGAAGCGGCGCGACATTTGAAGGCGACAAGACGGTGTTTGTGCACTTCACCCGCAACATAGCACGAAGCGATGAACGACCAATCATGATTAAGGGACAGGAGGTGCTCCCGACCGCACGAGCCAAGATTCTTGGAGTGGTCATGGACTCCGAGCTACGATTTAAGGAACATCTGGCGAAAGCGGCCACGAGAGGACTCGAGGCGGCGATGGCGCTGAAAAGAGTGAGTGGCCTCTCACCGCCGACGGCACGTCGGTTGTTTGAAGCGACAGTAGCCCTAGTGGTGGACTACGCTTCGAGCGTATGGATGCTGTGCGGCCATGGCGATGTTGAACCGAATCCAGAAGACAGGCGCACAAGCGATCATCGGCTGCTTTCGCACCGTGGCCGCCTCTGTTGCGGAGGCTAAAGCAAGCATTCGACCGGTCCGCGAGCGACATGTGGAGCGAGCAAGCAAACTATGGATTGGGTTGCGAACTCTGCCGCAGAGCAATCCGGTTTCCAAAGTAGGGCTTTGTGTAAGAAAGCGGTATCGATCGCCAGTGCAGAAGATTGCAGCGGCGCACTCGGAAATCAAAAGGGGAAATGTGGAAACGATTCGGCCATATGTGCTGACACCGTGGGAGGTTCGGCTGGAGACGATGGTCGTTACTAGTGATAGTGTCGCGAAGGAAATGACGGAATGGACCGGGGGAATACGCGTGTGCACGAGTGCGTCAGCGAAGAAGGGGCTAGTCGGAATTGGAGGAGTGATGAAGTGGGGACAGGAAGATCAAGCTGGTGAACAGGAGTGTACTTACTCGTGTACTCTGGGACCGCGAGTGACAAAGAACCCGTACGTGGCCGAACTAGTAGCGATCGCCGAAGGTCTCTCTCGAATGGGCTCTGCAGTGCGAAACCAAGAGATCCGCATCTTCACAAGGAACCTGGCTGCCGCGCTGTCAGTCAGTCAGCCCGGGAGTCAGTCTGGACAAAGCATCATGCATCAAATCTACACGGAAACAGAAAGGCTGCGTGGTAGCAGCAATCGAGTGACCATCATCTGGACGCCGACAGCGACGGAGTGTATGTTGGCACAGCAAGCGAAAGTAGCGGCACGCGCATTAACTGAACCCGACCGAAGAGCAAGCGGAGGTCTCAAAGCAGCCAAATCGACCATGATTAGCGTACGGAAAGCAATAAAGAAGGCAACGAGTAGTATCGTGGACGATGTCGGGCGGTTCACCCGTGGTCTGGACCTCGCACTACCCGGTCCACACACGCAAAAGATATACGACGCAGTCGGGAGGAAAGGAGCCAGCGTGCTGGCACAACTACGCACGGGCATGGCCAGGCTGAACGGCTACTTGCACCGCATTGGAGCGACCGAGAGTCAACAATGCATCTGCGGACACGTGAAGGAGACGGTGGAACATTTTCTGTTCCGCTGTAGCTAAGTACGGCAAACCGGCGGCGTGAAACCCTCCGTCCATCTCAACGGTCCCATAATCACTGTAATGCAGCCCAACGCCACGAGTATACTGCATCCGCCATACACATACGCATGCCTCAGGCGCAGCGTGTCCAGCTCGAGAACCCATGTGCTGACGGTGGTCAAGGCTCCACAAAATCCGTCTTCAATGCCCTGCAACACTTGACACCCGACGACACTGCTAGCCGCCGAGGAGTGCTGCAGATCGTACGCGATGCCCAAAACCGCTGTGCCGAGCACATTGGCCGTGAATGTTCCTAGTGGGAATGCCGCGATCAAACGGTTCATGCGAACCGACAGCTGGAAACGCAGAATGCAGCCCACCGGCGCGAAGACAAGGGAGAAGAGGACCTTTCCGCGCCATGCATCATATGGACCAAAAATGGTCA